TTTGGGGTTTTCTACATACATAGGTCATGTCTGAGAAGAGAAATAATTTTACTTCTTCCTTTATAATTTGGATGCCTTTTATTTCTTTTTATTGACTAATTGCTCTAGAACTTTCTGTACTGTGTTGAATAGCAGTGGCAAAAGGAGGCATCTTATTTTGTTCATGATCTTAGGAAAAAAGTTTTCAGTCTTTCACCGTTGAATATGGTGTGGGTTTTTCATATATAGCCTTTATTATGTTGAGGCAGTTCCTTTTTATTCCTAGTTTATTATTTTTATCATGAAAGGGTGTTGGATTTTGTTCAATGCTTTTTTTGTATTAATTGAGCTAATCATGTTGATTTTCCCCTTTTTATTACTGTAAGATATTAATTACATTGATTTTCTTAAAACGTGTCTATTGCTGGATTAAATCCCACTTGGTCAGAATTATAGTGTATAATTCTTTTAATATGCTGCTGAATTTAGTTTGCTATTATTTTGTTGAAGATTTTTACATCTATATTTATGAAGAGTATTGGACTGTATTTTTCCTTTGTAGTGTCTTTGTCTAGCTTTGGTAGTAGAACCTAGGTAATACTGGTCTAATAGAATAAGGTAAAGTGTTCTGTCATCTCTTTTTTGGTAGAGTTTAAGGATTGATGTTAATTCTTCCTTAAATGTCTGGTAGAATTCACCAGTGAATCAATCTGGTCCTGGAACTTCCTTCGTTGGGAGATTCGAAAAAAAATTTCTTCTTTTTAAAATTGTAAAGTATACATAACATAAAGTTTACTGTTTTAATCATTTTTAACATACAGTTCAGTGGCATAAGTATGTACATTTACATCATTGTGCTGTTGTGAGATTTTTGGTTACTGAGTCAATCTCCTTACTTGTTAAACATATTCAGATTTTCTATTTTGTCTTGATTCAATTTTGATAGTTTATGTTTTAGGATGTTTCTACACGCAACAGTTGTGATATCAAATGTGTGGGTCTTCCACACAAAGCAAGTTTCCAATTTTCTGTCAAAACCAAATGACTGGGTGTCCTACAATTTAATTCAATTCTGACACTACCTAGAGTTAGTACAGACCAACAAGACTGAGGTTAAGGGCTCAGTCTCACGAGTCTTTCCCTTGTTTCAGATACCAATCTCAAGCAGTGGGTATCCAGGTTATCCACACTTTTGTCCAACTTGGCTGTAAATTGGGAGGTCTCACTACTTCTTCATCAGGTTTGATAATGTGCTGTAATGGCTCACAGAACTTAGAGAAACACTTTACTCACTCTTACCAGTTTATTATAAAGGATACAAATGAACAGCCAGATGAAGAAGCATATAAGTCAAAGTTAGGAAGTGTACCAAGCACAGGAACTTCTGTTCCTGTGTGGTTTAGGGTATATCACCTGCCTGGCATGTGGATGCATTTACCAACCAGGAAGCTCTCTGAACTCCATTGTTTAGGGTTTTTATGGAGGTCCCATTGCCTAGACATGATTAAGTCATTGGCCATTGGTGATTAACTCAATCTCCAGCTTCTCTCCTATCTTTGGAGATCAGAAATTGAGTAAGTGGGGTTGAAAGTTCTAACTCTCTTATCACATGGTTGGTTACTCTGGCAACTAGCTCCTATCTTGAAGCTTTCTAGGGGACTATCAAAATATAAACTTAGTTATGGTTGAAAAGGGGCTTATTATAAATAACAAAAGAAACTCCTCACCCCATCACTTGAGAAATTACCACAGTTTTAAGACCTCTGTGCCAGTAACCCATGAGAAAGACCAAGTATATATTTCTTACTATATCACGGTATCACAGTGTGTTTCTCGGAATTTGTACATCCATTTGTTACACAATTTTATTGGCATACCATTGCTCATAATACTCTTACGATCCTTATTTCTGTAAGGTCAGTAGTAATTTCTTCACTTTCTTTTCCGATTTGAGTAATTTGAGTCTTCTTTTTTCCTTCTGCTAGCTTTGGGTTTAGTTTGTTTTTCTTTTCATAGTTCCTTAAGGTGTTCAGTTAGGTTATTAATTTAAAATCCTTCTTTTTTAATGTAGGCATTTACAGCTATAAATTTCTTTCTTAGCACTATTTTTGCTGTAATTCATAAGTTTTGGTGTATTGTGTTTTTGTCTTTATTCATATCAAGGTATTTTTCTAATCTCCCTGTGATTTCTTTTTTGATCCATCAGTTATTTAAGAGTATTATTTAATTTCTACGCACAGTCTTCCCTCTGTATCTGCAGGGGATTGGTTCCAAGATTCCCCCCTTAGATACCCAAATCTGCAGATGCTCAAGTTTCTTACATAAAATGTTGTTGCAGTATTTGCAAATAACCAATATTTGCATATAGGCTACCGTGGGGTATGCCTACATCATTCACGTGGATTCAGTGTTGTGCTCAGCATGTGGCAAATTCAAGTTTTGCTTTTTGGATCTCTCTGGGATTTAAAAAAAATAACAGCTTTATTTATTTACTCAGTTTTATACTTTGAAATTTTTTTTCAATTACAGCGCAGTGGTTAGACTTATGGTGACCCCCCCTCCCCATAAGTCTAGTACCTACTTGGCACCATACATAGTTATTACAATATTATTGACTATATTCCCTAAGCTGTACTATTTTCTAACTGCCAATTTGTACTTCTTAATCTCTTCACCTTTTCTCTCAGCCCCCCAACCCCTGCCATCTGGCAACCATCATTTGGTTCTCTTTATCTGTGAGTCTATTTGTTTGTTCATTTATTTTGTTTTTGAGAGTCTACTTATAAGCAAAATCATATGGTATTTGCCTTTCTCTATCTGCCTTATTTCACTTAGCCTAATACCCTCTAGGTGCATCTATGTAATTGCAAATGCTGAGATTTCATTCTTTTTTATGGTCAAGTAATATTTCATTGTATAAAAGTAACACACCTTCTTTATCCATTCATCCATTGATGGATACTTAGATTGCTTCCATATCTTGGCTGCTATAAATAGCACTGCAATGAATATAGGATTTCATATGTATTTTCGAGTTAGTGTTTTGGTTTTCTTCAGATAAATCCCCAGACGTGGAATTGCTGGGTCATAAAGTAGTTCTATTTTAATTTTTTGAGGAACCTCCATACTGTTTTCCATAGTGGCTGTATCAATTTACAACGGGATTTTTTTTTTTTTAATTAAAATATTTTCGAACTGAGGTTGGTTGAATCTGTGGTTGCAGAACTCGTGGATATGAAGGACTATTTAATTTCCAGTTTTCCTCCTGTTATTGATTTCTAGTTTCATTCCATTGTGATAGGAAAAGATACTTTGTATGACTTCAGTCTTTTAATATTTATTAAAACTTGTTTTATGGCCTAATGAATGGTCTCTAGTTCCTTAACTTTATAGATGAACATGAAGCTCAGAGATGAAATGCTTGCTGAAATAAGTGTGTATTTATTTATAGAATTAGGACTAGAACCCAAGTCTCTTGATTCTATCTTCTATCATTGAAATTTGATGTTTGTTTAAAGTGTGAAAGGGCTTAATTTGGAGTGCAATAAGGAGCCATTCTATGTAACTTGTTGGCTCTTCTGCTTTTGCCTAAAAGTAGGTATTCGCCAAGGGTTTGTGCTTGGTCTTTTTTCACTTCTCCACACTTTGATAGCTTCTCTTCAGTTTGGAATGCCAGTCTCCTTTTCCAATTCCATGCTGGTTATTTCTACCTGGGTGATATTTGAGAATCTTAGAACCAACATGTGCTAAAAGGAAGTATGCCTTCTCTGCATTCTACTCCCAAATTTTCCTAGCATTCCTATTTTTTTTGTTGTTGTTGTGGTTGCTGTTATTAATTGCACTGCCACTCATTATCCCAGTGACTCAGGGTGGGAAAATGGAAAGTCAATTTTAATTTTCTTTCCCCTCACAAGATCTCCACATCTGATCAGGTACAAACTCTTTTGACTTCTCTCTGTAGTACTATTCCTATTTGTCCTCTTTCCTATTTTCACTGCTACCATTTATTACCTCTTGCCTCTATTAGTATAATAGCCTGATTACCTTCTTCTTTAATCACTACTAAACTATATTTATTAATCTTTCTAAAGTATATGACATTAGATAAACAATGATGGTGTCATCCTCCATTCAAAATCATCAAAAAATAGATTCCATGTGCCCACCGAATAAGGTGCAAACTTCTTAGCTTGCCATCTTAGGCTCATCATGATTGGGTTCCAATCTACTTTTTATTCCAAATTTATTGCAGACCCCACCACGCAGCTTATGTTCCAGAAACCTGAGCTTCAGTCTTGCAAGTTATTGTAATGAATGCGAGATGCTGGGAATCCATTGGGAAGCAAAACAGACCAGGTCTTTTCCCATTCTTGCTTCCTCAATCTCAATTTGATCTTGGTCCCACTCTTCTGCACCTTGCACTCGAGAGTAGGTTTCTCTAACAGCTGCCCTGTTCCTATCCATGGGGGGTGCCTAAGGGGAAAAAGGAGGCTAAAGGGCAGAAGAAAAAGACTGCCAAGTGCCAGGATGAAATTGAAGTGTGAAAACTGGAGTTCCCCTTCCCCTACTAACGAGAGAAGGGCCCAACTCTTTACCCCAGGGTTAAAAGGGTCTGGAAAAGGCCCAGGATTGGGCTTGGTTGAGAAAGCTGGGGTAAGGTAGGAGAGAAGTTGGTTTCAGCGAGGAAGGTCTGCCATTACAAAACCATTACAGCCGCTAGCTTTCTCTGCCTGAAGTCTGGGCGGCGGCTCTCGATCAGAGCCCAGGTTTTCTTGCTCATTCACTTCAGGAGCGGTCCAGGCCGGCCTCGCCTCCAGCTTCCTTAGCTCCCTCGGGGACGCTCTGCCTCCTCTCAGTCGCAGTTCCCGCCTCGGCTCTCCGCCACCGCTGAGCCCACTGGGGAGGGGCGTCTCGTTGGCTCCAGCCTCTTCGGGCGCCGAGCTCCGGGACCCGCCCCCCCCGCGCCAGTTGCCAGGGAGCGGTTGCCATAGAGCTGAGCAGTTGTCCGCGTGCGCAGGCGGAAGTCCCGGATTGAGGCGCCGCCATTTTTGCTGCCCGGACACGGAGCGAGAGGCTGAGAGAGTCGGAGACGCTATCTGCTTCCATCCGTCGCGCAGACCCTGCCGGAGCCGCTGCCGCTATGGATGATCGGGAGGATCTGGTGTACCAGGCGAAGCTGGCCGAGCAGGCTGAGCGATATGACGGTGAGTTGGGGGGGCAACGGGGGGCTGGAATTCTCGGACCCTCTGCCGCCGCCCACAGAGGCCGGAGCAAGAGACAAAATGGCGGCACCGTCTCCGATCCTGGCCCGGGGACGTGGATTTGGGAAGCAGGAAATGGTCTGTGGTCTCCCGGAGCGGTGGGAGGCCCCAGGCCCAGGAATTTGACCTCTTCGGCGTCCTCAGCAGCAGACACTCGCGAGCCTAAAGGCCGAGGCGATAGAGTGGAGGAGTTGGTTGTAAAATGGCGGCTGTGGGGGGAGGGCGAGTCCCGGGGCGGGGGAGGGGGAAGAGATGGAGGGTGCTGTCTCCGGGCGAGCAATCCCCAGGGGAGCTTCTGGCCAGTCTTGGGATGTGGAGCACTGTTAGGTGGGGTGATGGAGGAAGAAACACCCGCCACTTGGGAGGGAGAGGCGACCAGGAGGTGTAACGCGGGCTCCTTTCAGGGAAATATGGCGGGTGGGGGCGGTGGCTTTTCCCCGGAGGCCCAATGTGGGGCGGCGGCCGTGGAGTCTCACAAAGGAGGAAGCCTTGCGAGTGGAGGTCTTCTTTGAGCTTGTGGGGGGCAGTCTTGAATGAGGGTGGGGGAAGGGGAGAGGGTGGGAATCACTGCAGTTCATCCTTGGGCGGAGGCCCGCTGAGATGCTGGTCTCGGATATCTTTCCCGTAGGCCGGCACACCTTGTAGTGAGGGTTTTTTAGGCTTTACGTTCAACCTCGGCTTCCTTTGGGGAGGTCTTGCAAAACCTTAGTCACACTCTCACCCTTTCCTCGGATTTATCCCGGAGAACTCGAAGTTCCTGTAATTTTCTGTTTCCATAAGCTGTGGGTTCTGGTAGATAGAACATTGAACAGGAAACAGACCATGACTTAGTCCCTTTCCATTTCTTGTCGCAGTCTACCAGTTTGTAAAAACGATGACTTTCCTGTTCACACGCACCATTATGACAAACGGAGAAAGATCGTTGAAAAATAAAATTATTTAAAATAATGTTTAGTAATCGCATTTTGATTGACTGCCGGGGCTTGGAATGCGTGTTGTACCCATTGGGGTTTTAACCTATCCCAGGCACTTAGCTGAGACTTGGATTTTTGTATTATGAACATACGGGGTCCCAGAAGATCCTGTATTCTTTTTTCCATTTTGAATAAATGGTTTTATGTACAGATTTGAACAGTTTTTCTTTATTCATTAATCCTTTGCGCCTAAAAGTTCTTTTGTCATTTTTCAGAACTTTATCTAAATGTCCATTATATTCAGTCCATCCCAGGCTGCTGCTTTTTTGAAATTGCTCCTCCCCCTTATTTTGGAACTATGTACTTGAATTAACCCTACATCCGTTAAAATGTGTTAGAAAAGCAAAAAGTCATATATGTGGTTTCTGTGGTTTTAATGCGGTTGTGGGGTGAGACATGTTTGGAATGAAGTGCCATTGATCTTTATATATTTTTAAATTAAGCCACTTATTTTCAAAATATGTGGGCCCTTGCTTTCCTTGAATGCTTATTTGTCCTGTGAATACCCTCAGGGCTAGTCTTAATGTATCACATTAGGATTCTGAAATTTAAAAATTAGAAGAAAAGGCCTTGAACTCAAACTGAGGAATGATACAGCATTAAATTTTGTTCTGTAAATCCTTAAATTGCTATTTGTATTGAACAAGATTCCTGTTGGGAGGGGGAGGGGAATAGATGGGGAAGTGGCAGCTCAAGGTCAGATTTGTCTTTATTTCAATGTTTAAAAGTCAAACAGATGTAGGGGTGTTTGTAATGGAAGTTTTTTCTTTTTCCCCCTCATGTTCCAAGTAGGTTCCTCACTTAGTCTACTAGTGTCCTTGGAAGGAAACTTGAAATTATATTTGAATGCTTTCTGTTCTGTAGAGATTTAGGCTCTGAGTAAACTTGCTGTGATAACCAAAAAGGACATAGAGGAAGGTTTTTTTGTTTTAAACTTGTTTTAAAAAGTGATTTGGAAGCTCATGATTATAATTTACAAATAAGTGACAGTTCATTGATAATCATATTTTGGAATTGAGTGCTGAGAGTTTTTGACCAAACGCTTCACAGGTTATTTAACATAGGACTCTGTAGATAGGGCCACATCCTTACGTTGGGGTCTCCTTCAGGATCGAAATGGGGAAGGAGATAGTCTATCAGGTGGGGAGGAACTCCTGTGACTGTTGGGAACAAGATAGGAAGGGAGTCTTTGAAGAGAAGAAAAAGTCATTAGGAATCAGATTCTTAACTGTCTACTTCATTGTTAACAATTCATTGTTATTCGTGGTAACAAAAAATGATGCTATAGTTTCAGTCACCAGTTTATCAAGTGTGGGGAGTGGAAGGAGGTGAGGTTGCATTTGAATGATTTGTGTTTGGGTACTTGGTTATAAGTACTGGTTTTTCTCATTGTTCTGGCAGTACCTTTGTTAAAATTTTGTATGCCGTAGTGAACCTAATATTTAAAACCTTTGTAGCATCATTTAACACTCTCCTGGGTAATAGGAATGAACTTACTTGGTTCATTTAATAGTACTGGAGCAAAAGCTAAGCTGTGTTCAGAAAATGGACAATTTTGGATTGCAGATAGGAAATACTGAAGTTTGGGGCCAGGAGGGTTCACTTTGAAGATTAAATTCAGCATCTCATCACTTAAATGGGTAGTCTGATAAATAGTTTCTATGTCATTTGTAGTTACATTAAGCAAGTCCATTATTTTTTAGCATTCTCGAACTAAAGACTTACCATCCCATCTATATGAACCACATTAGTACAGAAAAATGGGGCCTGTAGAGGTGGTGAGAGGGAGTGAATAGTTTTCACATTTTTTGAGAGTAGAGGTCAGCATAAACTACATTTGGATTGGTGGGGTAGTTGCTGGTTTTGTCTTTTCACTCTTCTCTCTGTGATGATTGGTTCCATGTGAAGTAGAGATAATGGTTTGTCACCTTATACATCAACACCAGGAATAAATCGATCTGAGTCTCGAGAGCCGTCCTTTTAAAACACCAAGCCTCATCTGTAGCTTATTCTGGTAGTCAGTGAAGGATGGGTGGGGGCATGTTCTGAATTAACTTCTTAATATATGTCTTGTTAGGAAAGAAATGGGTAATAGTAAACTAACTTTAGTAATGAGTTTTAAAAACAGGTTAATTACCAATTCTTAACTGTAGGCTAGTAGTAATTATTATTGCTATTTCAGTTAATGCTGAAATTAATTGCTATTTCAGTTAATGAAGTTTATTGAATGCAGTTTTTCTCCTGCCTAAACAAAAGCACAATTGGATAATGCAATTTTTAAAATCCCTTCTAGTAACTTTTAATCTTCGTATTTAATGCAGATGCTCTTTTTGTGTACTTTAGACTTTCGTGTAGTATTGTGTATGTTGGGCATACTTCAGTTTATTCTATTGGCTTACAAAACTATGGAATATAATGAAATGATGAATCATTGCAATTTGAGGCGACAGGGTAAATTCTTACTACTGTGGGCATTCCTAGGCACCCTTTTCACTTTTATATGAAAAGGTCTCAATTTGAATTCCAGTGTGGGGAAGAACACTTATGGCAAGTATTAAACTGAGCAAATTTTGGATTCAGTAAGTACAAACAAACACACTGAAAGTCCATACAAAGAAGCAGGCTTTCCATAATTGTTTTATAGCTTGGTCAAGGGAATAGGAAATGTTTTAAAGATTTCTTGTCTTTAACCTGGTTATAGTGAGTGAAATTTCAGCCAAGTAAATTAATATATCTAATTTAACAAATAAGCTTCAAATTTGTAAGAAGCTTACCTGAAAGCATTTTTAAAATTTTTATTTATTTTAGTTATTTACTTTTGTTTTTTAGGCGAGGCAACCCTTGGTTGACCTCATAGATTGCGAGGACCTTGTCAGCTTACAATCCCTTATTTTTTAATTTTTTTACACCTATAGCACCTGGTCTTCCTAGATGGTCTCACATCCAAGTACTAACGAGGCCCGACCCTGCTTAGCTTCTGAGATCAGATGGGATCAGGCTTGTTCAGAGTAGCATGGCTGTAGACTGAAAGCATCATTTTTTTAAAAAGGGCTCTAAAGTGGATTTTGCTGGAATTTTACCTTAATATTTAAGAAAAGTATGTATTTAAATAGTAATGACAGGTATAGGATAAAAATTAAAATTTCAAACTTTATATGCCATATTTACATAGAATGTACCTTTTCACAGACCACTTTTACACAAATTTTTACTTATTTCATATAACATTGAATTGGGTAGTAGTGTTACTTCCATTTTATGGTTCAGGAAAGTGAATTTGAGACTATTCAGTGATTTTTTTTTTTCTTTAACCCCCCTGTATACCATGACTAGTTGGCTTCAAATAACATGTCTTGGTATTTACTACTTGACTAGTATCTATCGAAATAGTAGGTAAAATATTTTCATACTTTTGTAAAGAAACCTTGTGCTTTTAGGAACTCATTTCAAGGCACAGTGAATGAAGTGATTTTAGGTAATTTCAGCATGTGTATTTGCATATAGGTTCCTTGGTTTATCATGTCTGTATTGGTATGGCTAATACTATGCATTTCTGTAAAGTACTTTTAAAACATTTTCCCCTTCATCTTTGTCTTAATGGATGCAGCCCTTAAGTAAATGATGTAATCATAAAACTTCTAGAAGAGGGAAAAGTTGGCAAATGACTCACAGATGTTCTAAGTAGTAGCCTAGGTAGCTGTCAAACAAAATTCTTTAAGGAGTAGTGAGGAACAGCAAAAGTTATCTTTACTGTTTTTGAAATGGTCAGTTAACAGTTTGATAGTTAAATATTGATATATCCAAGTTGACATTTGTTTCCCAACATAATTATATGAATTGAGCTTATTAAGTAGTCATGGTAGTCACGCTCCTAGAACATTTTCAGAAGCTTAAATTTACTAAGTTGTAGTAACAACTGCCATAATTAGAGGGTCATCGTAATTTATGTTCCAAATCAGGATATCTTGA